AAGCCCTAATCTCCAATGTGGTGGTCTTTAGAGGTGAAGCCTTTGGGAGGTGATTAAGGTCATGAGGGTGGAGCTTTCATGAATGGGATTAGTGCCCTTATAAAAGAGACCCCAGAGGAGGATCTCTTTCTCCAACATGTGAGGGTATAGGAAGAAAGCTGTCTGCAAATCAGGAAGAGTCCTCACCAGGAACAGGACCAGCTGGCAGCTTGATCTTGGACTTCCCAGTCCTTCAGAACTGTGAGAAATCAATGTTTGTTGTTTAAGCCACCCAGTCGATGGTATTTTTGTTATAGTAGCCTGAACAGACTAAGACAACTGGCTTCTGTTGTTACCGACCTGGGTCCTTGGACTCCTGTAATCAATAGAAATTGATAAGAGGCCAGATGAGGAATTCAGGCGGGGCTTTATTGGGACTCGTGCAGCATGAGGGAAAGAAAACAAGAAACAGGTGCCCGTGCTTGCTCTCCAAGGGCTGGCAAGCTGGTTCTTTAAATAGGGTGAGGGTGGGGGCAGGTTGGTGGGTTGGGCTGGAGGGGTGGCTTAGGTGAGCTGCCCACCCCCTTGGTGGTGCAGTGTGCAGGGATCATGCACAGTGCCCTACTTTTGCTCTCCACAAAAGAGAAATGGCAGTTGGAGAAATGGAAGGAATGGAGAAATGGCAGTTGGTTTGTGGCCTTTTTGTATCTTATTGTTCATAATTGCCTCGACTGCTACTGCACAGGCATGCTTGTGTGTGCAGTTATTTTTAGTCCCTTCTAGTTTCTTTGTATCTGTTGCTTGTGGAGACGTGTGTCCAGGTGCAAGCGTTGCAGCAAAGGGTCCAGGTCCCAGGTCCCAGCCTGTCTCGCTGAAAGGAGCTGGAGACATTGCCTCCTAAATAGATCAGGGCTATGGGAGGAAGGGGCAGAACGAAGGTCAGTTCAATGTCAGCCTCAACTCCTGCAGCCACCTGGAGAGGAGAGACCATGGTGAAGTGGTCAAGAACGCCTGCGAGCTTGGGCCTAATCCCAGTGGCCACATACCAGGGTGGCACTTTGGTCACATCGCTTAACTTCCATTTCCTTGTCCGTAAAAATGGAGATAAAAGCAACACCTCTCTCAGGGCTGCCATGAGGACTTAGGTGAGTTTATGCACAGAAAGCAAATGCTCAATAAACATTGACTTTTTGTTTCCCTTAATGGTGGAGCCCGTCCCTCCCTCTTCCAACCTGATTTTTGTTTAGGTAAATTCCCTGATAGACAGATTGGGTGGAGGTTGGGGGAAGCAAGCTCCTTTCCTGGGGATGTTCAGGGAACCACCAGACTTTGGTTTTGCCAACTGGGGTTTGTAAGTTGAAGACCAGAGGTGAATTGCTTGGGATCTGTCCACTGAAACAAACCTAAAAAAGCACAACGTGAGAGTTGTGAGTTAAGATTTATTGGGGGCAAAATGAAGACTATAGCCCGGGAGACAGCGTTTCAGATAGCCCTTAGAAACAGCTCCAAAGAGGTAGGGGGGAAGGTCAGTATATATGTGATTTTGGTGAAGGGGGAGTACATGCAGTCAAGCACATATTTTTTGCAGAAGGTTTCTGCTAGTCTCGTGAAAGTTACTGCTAGTCACGAGGAGCAGACGTCACCATGAAGGATTTTAGTGCTTTTCTAGATGCGAGGAGATGCAAGATTGGGCTCATAAAATCATCTCCTGAAAATATCCAACTATCTGAAGACCTGTTCTGCCAGTTTTTCCCAGAGCACAGAGTGCTTCATTTCTGACCTCTACCCTGAACTCCTTTCAGGGGGTGTCGAAGGTCAGCAGCTGCAGTGGCTCATAATTTAATCCTTGTAGAGGTAGATGGCAAGTGCCAATCTGTAGGTGACAGGTCCGAGGACCACGAGGTGTGTGGAAGAGGAAGAGAGAGAAAGAGAAGAGATGGAAAGCTGGCGACAAGAGAAAAATCTGAGGAAAACAACAGTGCTATCTACTAGGAATCTTCATGGGGTTCTGACGCATGCCTGTCTGTGAGAGCGTCACAAGAATTTCACCTTGCTCGTTAATGTGGGGTGAATGTGGATGTGCTTGGGAGGACTCAAAACATGCTAAGTGCAGTTTCGAGATGGACAAAGGGTGAAGGCCCCCCAGGGCAAGCCCACCACACCTGGGTTACATGTAGGAAGAAGACTGGCGTGAAATTCACCCAAACATTTGGAGTGGAACAGTGGCCTCTGGTGCATGTGGATCAAGGTTATGTGTAATCTTAGGTTCCTTCTTCGTACTTGTTTGTATTTTCCAAAATTTCTACAATGATCAGGAATCTGTTCTGCAATCAGATAAGAATTTTATTTTAAAAATTTTATTAAAAAAATTTTATAAGGAATATAATTTTTAAAAGTTGTTTTAAGGTTGAACGTTAGCTCTGTTTGTCAAATACCCTGCTTATCCAGCATCATTTTCTCTTTCTTTTCCCCCTGCCTCTTTCTAACGGCTAATAATAGCAACAGATATGATTTACTGAGCATTGTACTGTGTATGTCCCAGACACGTGCTCAGTGCCTGACATGCATAATAATCCTAGAAAGCTGTACTATTATAATTCCTATTTCAAAGATGAGGAAAGTTAGAGAAGAATTTCTGGCACATGGCCCCTTTGAACTAGAGATGTTTGGTGCCAATACTCTTGCTTCTAACATTACCTGTCGCTCTTTTGTTCTTTCATCGTCTTTCCTTCTCTCATCTTTCAAAAAGTATCTATCAGGTACCTGTGTCAATTCTGTGGTTATAACCCAAGATTTCTCAACTTCATCATGATTGGCATTTTGAACCAGGTAATTCTCTACTGAGGCGGGCTGCCCTGTGCATTGTAGGATGCTTTGGAACATCCCTGGACTCTACCCACTAGATGCCAGTAGCAATCCCCCCACATACCCAGCAGTAACAACAAATATGTCTCCAGATGTTGCCAAATGCCCCCGGGGCCAAAATCATCCTCCTTAAGAACCACTGATGGAGCCTCATCTCCACGCTAGATGTGGAAAAGGATTCTGGAGCACCTCCAGTTGAAGGCTCGCAGACAGGAACCCAGGGGAACAGCATGTACCCTTCTGGCAAAGCCCCCAAGCTCATTTGTGGCAGCTGCCACCTGCTAGGACATTCCAGGGCAACGTTTGACAAGCGCTTGGAGTGCCTGCCCCTGGCAACAGGAGCAGGAGATGCAGGCTGAAACGAGACATTACTGCCACTCGTCCTGAAAGCTGGGATGCTGGGGATCACACGGGCAGGGCAGGGGGCCCCACGCTGGTCTGTGGATGGCACTTCTGAATGGAAATCAGGTTCTTGGCGAAGACGTCAAGGAAGGAGGCAGAAAGATCAGTGGATTCAGACAAATCGATTTCTGGTCCTGGTCCTGCCCCTACTTGCTGTGCAGACTCAGTTGAGCCTTTTGAGAATATTCCTGCTTTCCTCCATCTCTTCCTGGGACAGAAGGTTGATGTGTCCAAAGTGGTCCACTCCATCCCCTCACCTGCTTCACTCTTCTTCAGAGCATCTGACGTTCTGTTGTATCTGTGTTCACCCTCTGTCTCTCCTGATTAAATTTCAGCTTATGAGGGCAGGGGAGCTGTGCATCCCTGGAGCCTGTGTCGTTGGTGAACGTAGTAAGTGCTCATTAAAGACATGCAGAATGAAGGCACACACACACCCCATGGGGAAGCTATTTGGAAATACGTCTCAATGGCCATAGACATGTCATACCCTTTGTACTCAGTGATTTTACTTCTGAAAATCAGTAGCCCCCACCCCAAATAATCCAACACGAAAGAAAAGCCTTTTCTTTCCTGGAAAGGTGAATCCATGTTCATCCTAAAGTGGCTAAAATAACACAAACAACTCAAAAAGCCCACCTAAGTAATCAAGATAAAGGCATAGGGAATTCCCTGGGAGTCCAGTAGCACTTGGTACTCTCACTGCCGGGGCCAGGGTTTGATCCCTGGTGAGGGAACTAAGATCCTACAGCCGTGCAGTGTGGCAAAAAATAAAAATAAAAATAAGGGCATAATTAAAACTGCTCTGATAAATCTACTTGGTGAAATTCCAGGCAGCCATTACAAATGTTGTTTACAGTAAGATGAGTTAATATTGCAACACACACACATGAAATACATTATGCAAAATTGTATATGCAACCCAATTGCTGAGATTATAGGGGTGAGCTTCCTTTCACACTGTTGGTGGGAATGTCATGCACGGTCCCTCTGAAGGACAGTTTGGAAATTCCTATTAAAATGTTCATGTCACTTAACCCTCCAGTTGCACTTCTGGGAATTGACTTAGCTAGGAATTCCTTTATTTCTAGGAATCTATCCTAGAATATATCTGGAAATAAGTCTAATACCTATGAATGGGGGGAATGGTTAAATAAATCGCTGTATATCAATATAATGGAATATTATATAGTCATTAAAAAGGAGATGTGCATATCCTGACATGGAAGGATGCCCAAGACATATCGTTAAGTTAAAAAAAGCAAATTGCAAAACGTTTTTTGTGCATGAATGATGGTGTCATCTTTGGTAGTATAAGCATAAACATTTTTTTCAATCTGGAGGAATAGATAACAAACCACCGACAATGGTTTTCTCTAAAGGATAGAGGGAGATTTTCTGTCTATGCGGTGAATTTCTGTAATGTTTAAAAGCTTTTCACATAGCTGAAAAAGGAAAACACTGAACCCACAGCATGAAGTCTCTCACATATGCTAACAAAAGCCAGGCATGGGAAGACTGGAAGGAACTCTATCAAGGTGTTATTAACTGTGATTGATCATTTCTAAGTCATTGGATAAAGGGCAGTTTGTTTTGTTTTTTTTTACTTTTGGTGTAAAACTTCTAAAGAGCATGTGTGGGGTTTACAGAGGACAGAACTCCCCCATTAGCCCTCTTTGTTGAAACCAGGGTGGTGCTCAGGGTGTACAATGTTCTGTTGATGTAACCTGCTGTTGTGCACTGTCCTCTTTCCCCAGGATGGATGACATCCAGCTCTGCAACGACATCATGGACTTGAAGCAGGAGCTGCAGAACTTGGTCGCCATCCCAGGTAACCATGGGGGACCCCACCTCATGAACCAGCTGCTCAGATCCCCCGTCTGGAAGGCCCTAATGCAGCCCCATTCTTGCAACGCAGTGCTTGCTCCCTGATCATGTGGTTCAGACTCTGCATCGGGCAGACCCGGGTTCAAGTCCTAATTCTGACCACCTCCTTGACCTTGGGCAAGTCACATTATCTCTCTGAGACTCAACTTCTCTTCCTCTGAAAATGGGGTAGGAATAGTAATAGTACCTAACTCGTTGGGTATAAATCTTACTGCGATAAATGAAACAACACAAGCCACGTGCTTAGCTTGATAGTTGGTCCAAAGAGTCCAGTAAATATTAGCAATGATTACTCTTATTATCCTGTTTGGGAACAGGTAGAGTATGGTGGTTACGAGCTCTGACTTTGGAGTCAAACCTAGATCTGTCACTTATTAATGATGTGACCTTGGGCAAGTTACTTCACTATAACTCGGTTTCTTTGTCTGTAAACTGGGACAATCATGCTATCTACCTCAAAGGATTGTTGTGAGACTGACCGAGGGGTGACACATGTAAAGTACTTAACACAGTTCCCATCTTATAGTGAGTGCGTAATAAATAAGTGCCATTATTATTATTACTATTATTATTATCATTAACCGAACACATTTCTACTCAGTGGTCAGGACTCAGAGCTTTCACTGCCATGGCCCCAGGTTCAATCCCTGGTCAGGGAACTAAGATCCTGCAAGCCCTGCCATGTGGCCAGAAAAAAATAGAATGAGGAGGGGGAGAAATAGCCAAGTCCAGACACTACCCACTAGAAACTTCCATTTGATTAGCGTGGGGCCCTGGCATTGGTCATGTTTACAAGCTTCTCACATGGCTTTGATGGGCAGTCAGGGCTGAGAGCCACTGGGTCAAGTCTCTCATTTTATACTCCCCCGAGGGATCATTTAGTTGAAAGATACAAAAACCCATTGAAACGGGCAGTTACTGAAGGACTGTGGAGACTCCTGGAGCCTGCAGGCATTATCGTATTAGTTTGCTAGGGCTGCCCTGACAAGTTCCCACAAACTTAGTGTCTTAAGACAACAGAACTTTATTCTTTGAGAGAAGCCAGAAGTCCGAAATCAAAGTGTCAGCAGGACCATGCTCCCTCCAAAGACTGGAATAGAGAATCCCTCTTTGCCTCTTCCAGCTTCTGGTGGTTCCCATCAGTCCTTGTTCCTTGTCTTGTAGCTGCCTTATTCTAGTCTCTGCCTCTGTCTTTACGTGGCCTTCCTCTCTTTGTGTTTCTCTGTGTGTCAACTCCTCTTCTTATAAGGACACCAGTCATTGGATTAAGGGCTGACCCAATGAGTATGACCTCATCTTAACTGATTGCATCCACAAAGACCCTATTCCCAAATAGCGTATTTCCGAATGAAATTAGGAGTGGCAAGGACGTACTATTTACTCTCAAACAGGCAGGAAGCTCAGCCCAACTCACAAGGGTCGAGAACCAAAAACAGGAAGGCTGTGGAATGTTCTTTCGCCCTTGCTCTCTCCTTCTCTTCTCTCCTTCTCTCTCTGTCTCTTTCTCTCTTACTCTCCATGTTGGAGCATGTTCTATTTTCTCCCTCTATCGCACATGAGCCAAGCAAGGCCACTTTGTTATCAAACCCAGCTTGGGTCTGCTTGCCCGCAGGCTGTAAAGCCAATGTACTGACACCTGGTTGTGGTGAAGGAAAGTGCAGTGTTTATAGTAGAGCTAAACAAGGAGCCCAGGACAGCTAGTGCTCAAAACGCCCAAACTCCTCCATGGGTTTCAGCAAAGCATTTTTAAAGGCCAGGTGAGGGAGGGGCATCCCAGGGTATGTGATCAGCTCATGCACAATTCTCCGACTGGTGGATGATGAGGCAACAGGGCGGTGTCACACGGGTGTGTGTGTGGGGGTGTTAGCATTATGAATCCTCAGGCTCCAGGAGGCCTGGGGGCTATGTGCTTATCAAGTAGCTAACATCTTCCATTTGGTGGGGGTTTTAGCATCTGTAAAACAACTCAGGAAGTGTGCATCAGATACTGTTATCTAGGGACTTCAGAGAAGAGCTACAGCAGAGGATGTGGGGGAGGGGTCTGTCCCAGGAAGGCCCCACAGGGTGCAGCTCGGTTACAACCTCATCTCCCTTCCATGATTTTCCCACACAAGAGCCCAACTCTCGGGCCTCTGTGTTCCAATTTTCAACTTCCCAGGGGACAGTGATGGGCCCAACATAGACTGACGTCTCCCTCTTGAGAGGAAGGATTCCCAGAGCCCACTGTTGACTCAGCAGGACACTTGGGTGCCACTGAGACAAAGGAGACACGAGTGTGTGGCCACCAGGCCAGCCAAGGCCTCCTCAGGCCACAGGGGCTCCACGGGGGGCCGTGGCAGCCTCTAGAGCATGGGTAGGAAATGGGTGGGAAATGGCTGGGGGTGAGGGTCTTTGGCTGACACAGTGCCTGGGCTGCATGACTGACCAGGACTGGGACTAGGGTAGGAGAACAAGGCGCTCAGCTGGAACATGAAAAATTCAGTAATCATATTTTCATGCAATATTTAAAATACCAAAATTCATGCAAAAATATATACCAAAAGTTTAAATAAAGATGAGATCGGGGGCTTCCCTGGTGGCGCAGTGGTTGAGAGTCCGCCTGCCGATGCAGGGGACACGGGTTCGTGCCCCGGTCCGGGAAGATCCTACATGCCGTGGAGCGGCTGCGCCCGTGAGCCATGGCCGCTGAGCCTGCGCGTCCAGAGCCTGTGCTCCACAATGGGAGAGGCCACAACAGTGAGAGGCCCGCATACCGCAAAAAAAAAAAAAAAAAAAGATGAGATCGGTACTGACACTCAATGGGCGGAAGCCAGGAACGCTAACCCTGCATGGAGGGGACAGTCCCCCTGAAGAACAAGTTTTACCTGAAATGCCATCAACTGTCCCGCTGGGAAACATACAAGGTCATAGGGCCACTTAGCAACAGAGCCCAGGTCTTCAACGGCAGCTCCATTGATTCTGCCGGAAAACTGCATCTTCCCAATCACTTCTGTGCAGAAATTCAGATATTAAAGTTCCCTTTCCTCTCCTGCCTTTCCTTCTCACCTCTCCCCACCTTCTCCTCTGACTCCTTGTTAAGAGCCTTTCTGTGCATTCCTTGGGCCAGTGCCAGGTTTCTAGATGGGTTTAGCTGAGTTTAGGGGGAAAGAAAATGATGCTCCTGGCAATTTATCAATAAAAATATTGAGTAAAGAGAACACTGAATGGCCAAGAAAATCATGTTTCTCCAGCCAGGGTCAGAAAATAATTTACCAGACTGTGATGAGAGAGAACACCTGGAGCCCTCCCCGCCTTCAGGGCTTCTCAAGAACAAGCCAGGATGCCTCACCTCACCTCCACTGCCACCACGGTCCCCTTAGGGCTGGGGATGCTTAGACCTGGCTGTAGAGGCCATGATACCCTCCCCTTGGACATAAAAATAGTGTCTCCCTCATAGGGTTGTTGGAAAGAATTAATAGTGGTTCTCAAGCAGGGGTGAGTTGGGCCTCCCTGGAGACATGGGCCATGTCTGGAGACAGGCTTGGTTGTCACAACTAAGAGAGGCGGCTGCTACCAGCATCTAGTGGGTAGAGGCCAGGGATGACGCTCAACATCCTATAGTGCACAGGACAGCCCCCATGACAGAGAATGATCCAGTCTCAAATATCAATAGCACCAAGGCTGAGAAACCAGATTAAATAAAAATCTAAAGCTCACGGTAATACAAATACAATGATAATTGCTACAATTTATTAAGCACTTACATTTTGCACACTTATGCGACTTGCTTTCCCTTCATTAAATAAGTGTTTATTTCTTTTGTACCTCGTTTGGTAAATATTTAACCTAGAGGGCACTTAGTCATTAAAACAACAGTGACTATATAAAATAATAGCCTGTAATAGTAGCAGCTGACTGTTCATGAACTCTTACTATCTACCAGACTGTGAGCCTAGGGTTTTACTTGATTTCTCTGTCTTAAAACTTGCAACAACTTTATGATTATCTGTGTTGAGAAACTGGATGCTCAGAGAGGTTGAGGAATGTGCCCAGAGTCACACAGCTAGGAAGGGGAGGAGCTGGAGCATTAAGCCACGACTGTCTGATTCTATGGCAAGGGCTCACAGTTGTGATAGGGTCTACAGGCCAGGGAAACCAGTTAGGAAGTCATGGCATGGTCCAGGGAGAGCTGATGGTGGCCTGGGCTAAGGAGATGTGCTGGAGGAGATAGATGAGAAGCAAGTTGGAGGGTCACATCGGCAAGCACGTGAAGATGCTAGGAATCAGGTGTGTGATGCCAGCAGGGGATAAAGTTGGCAAGTAGGTGGGTGATGATGGCCAAAAAAAGTGTGTCCCTAGATAGATGGGTGGTGCCTGGAAGCAGGTGAGTGATGCTTGCAGGCAGGTACGTGATACCTGCAGGTAAGTGGGTGATGCCTACAGCTAGGTGGGTGGGGCCTGCAGGTAGGTAGGTGGGGCTTAAGGTAGGTAGGTAGTACCTGGAGACAGGTGGGTGGTACCTGGAGGCAGGTGAGAGATGCTGGCAGAAAGGGTATATTACACGGAAAAGCAGGTGAACGGCATTGGCTGGTGGCATGGAGACTTAGGTCAGTAACTGGTTTGTAAGCTAGCACAGACCACTTTGAGTAGGTGGCTTCTCCCGTGAGTTGCTGGGAGGGGCTGCATGAGCAGAGGGCTGCAGCTGAGTATCTGGGGAGGCTGGGGGATGCCTGAACTGGCAAGAGATAGAAAACGGGTATGAATAACTTGGGCAGGGAGGTTTGTGAGTTCTTGGGGGCCCTGCCAGTTGCTATGTGACTCTGGCTTAGATCTGGAGCCTGGCGGAGGACAGGGGAATATTGGAGGGCTGTCGCTGGTAACTTGGAGAGGACGGTGACATCACTCCCCGAGTCCAAGGGCGCTGTGGTTAACTCGCCTGCAGAGGGCAGGGAGGCTCTGTGGTACTGACGAGTGACTTGCAGAATCAGACTTCGGGACCCACCTCGAGAGGAATATGCTACCATCGTCAACGCCGCGATGAGCAGGAACCCAGGGGCTGCTAGCAATTCCACTCCACTTCCTCACTCCCCTTCTGATTAATGAAAGAAACCGATTTTCTCTCTAATCCAAATATTATATTCTCCTTGCCTCTGGTTCTGCCCCCAGGTCTAGAGGAAATGGTCAGTGCCAGTTCCAGCAGGCAGATGGACAAGCTGCCCCATGATTTTTATCTTCTGAAAAAGTTTCTGCCCGCCTAGTTTTCTCAGTCCTTGTGTCCAGCCCTCGTTCTTTTGTTTCCTCTATGGCGCTCTAGCCCTTGGTATTTGGAACAGGATGGGAAAGCATGGGTGCCTTCCTTCTGACAGATTGGCTGAGCCTCGCTATAGAGTAATTCCCTCCTGCCCCCGGCCTTCTGCACGACCCCCTTGCAGCAGCAGCATCATTTACCGAGCATACACCACGGGCCAGCTCTATGCAAAGTCATTTACTAACATCACCACAGCCTCGCATTCAAGCCTCACTGTGTATTTTACAGAGGAGGAAACAGAAACTTGAAGAGGTCAAGTTGCTTCTCCAAGTTCATCCAGCAAGTTAAATGGTAGAGCCAGGATTCCAACCCTGACCCCTCGGACTCAACTGCTTTCAACAGCTACACTAAAACTGTCTTTGCTAATGTTGTATTCTTCCCAGAAAAAGAAAAAACCAAGTTGCAGAATCAGAGAGAGGACGAGCTAATCCAGAAGATCCACAAACTGGTGCAGAAGAGAGACTTCCTGGTGGACGATGCAGAGGTTGAGCGGCTAAGGTAAGTGGGCGGCATGTCCCCTGAGCAGAGGGCTGGGGCTGTTAGAACACAACTCAGTTGCCTTCCAAAACCCATCACCTGCTCCCAGGACTCACAGCTTTGCAACAGGCATGGCTTGGGCAAACACTCCCCAAACACTGGATCCAGATGAATCCTGGCCTTCTGGCCTGAGGACCCACTTCACATTCAAGAGAAACTCAAATCCAGCTCCAAAATGTTTTGCAAAGGCCTGTGGATCTTAAGTGAATGTTATTTGAGGAGGTAACCAGGGAGGAATTACATCACATAACACACGGCAGAGCTTCCTGCACATTCTTTTCACTGAGCTTTCTCCCAGCTCATCAAGGCAACTTTTCCAGAAACTTCCATTGGTTTCTACAGAAACTCTGCCCCCAGTACTGACTTGCTTCCTTGCCTGCCCACTTCCCAGCTTTGTTCTTTCCCTTCCCCTCTCCTAGATGCCTCTGATGCCCCTTCCTAGCCTTCAGGGTCTCCTATTTGCAGATGCACCTGCCACCTGGATCTGGACAACCATGGGCCCTGGAGCCATGGCGCACCTGAAGGCTCCCCAGGGAGCCAGGGCACGGGAAATATGTGAATATTGATTCTTGAATGTTTTTGTGCTGGAGCAAGGCCTTTGGAGTTGTCCACAGGGTAGAGGCTCAGAGGGCCTTTTCCAAACCAGAGGGCAACTTCCTTTTAATTCTCTGTGTCCTCCTGAGTCCTCTGAGGCCCCTAGGATGCACCTTGCCCAACTCAACCAGGCTTGGATTGTTGACTTTGCTCCTGGTGACCCTTGGAAGAGCTGAGGTGACTTGCCCTCTGAGACCTGCCATGTACCTTTTCTAGGGTAACATAAAAGTGCAGGGTCAGGAGAGGGGCTGCCCAGCTCACTAAACCTCCATCAGGGAGGCTGGGTCCTGTAACATACCTGCCTCTCCCCTGGGGTCTCACACTAGTGGGAGTAGCCATTTACTCCATCATTGATATGTGTCTCTGCTTCAGAGTAGATTCATCAAACAAAACACACACACACTATACACACATAACATATGCACACCACCCACACACAACACACATGTACCACCCACACATAACACACATCAACATACATGCACCACCACACATAACACACAGCAATACACATGCACCATCCACAAAGTCTGATACATGATCCCACACTCTTGCCTCATTTCATCAGTTCCTTGATGCTCTCTTAGCTTACTGTACTTTCTTCTTGTCTTTACACATCTTTCTACACAGGGAGCAAGAAGAAGACAAGGAAATGGCCGATTTTCTGAGAATCAAGTTAAAACCTCTAGACAAAGTAACCAAATCTCCAGCCAGTGAGTGCATATGTTATTCCTTTTCCTCCCCCCATCCAAGAGAAAAGGAAATTTAAAAGAGATCTTGAAGCCGAGGGGGGGCACAACAAAATGATTTCTACAGATCAAACTTGAGCCCAGGCTGGCAGCAGGCAGGGCCAGCTTCATGGGTGAGAAACCTGTGCAGTTTCCCAGGGCCTAGAAGGGCACTATGCTTGCTTTAGTGCCCTACTATTGCTCACGCCTAGAAGGGCACTATGCTTGCTTTAGTGCCCTGCTATTGCTGTCTTGGAATTCTTAAGAATTTTCGAACAGGGGGCCCTGCATTTTCATTTTGCGCTGGGTTCTGCAAACTATGCAGCTAATTCTGGCAGCAGCTGTCACTCTCTGATCATATGGTGTGGTGCACTTCATTGAAGGAGTTGGGTGGCCACTGAGGCAAGAAGGTGAGGACTGAGGGCCATGGAGCTCTGGCCTCTGTTGGAGCTGGAGTTGCTGGAGGAATGGAGCCAGAAGTTTACTTCTCAGAACATTAGCCTCACAAGATACTCAGAGCGAAAAGGGTTCTGTGTGAAATAAGTTTGGGAGATGCTGTGTATTTGACCCTCTCTTTGTAGGCTTCCAATGTCCATTAGCATATTAAAGTGATAATGGGTCCTGCTGTCTAGGAACTACCTTCTCTTTGTTGGCCCAATGAGACCACACTTTGAGCTATAAGAAGTGGATGCCCAATTCAAACTGGCCCTAGCAAAAAAGAGGATGTGCTGGAGAAAGAGCAATGGGAACCAGGGCTTCAGGGACTGGACACTGTTAGAACCCTTGCTTTCCTTCTATTTATCATCTTGGCACCTCTTTGCATGTTAGCTTCATTTTCTCCTACTACACAGGCCTTCTCCCTGGGGCCAGAACTCTAGAACCATAACTTAGTAGCAGCAAGGCAACACCAGTGATTCTCTCCTGGTATCTAAATATATAAGATTCTGATTGGCCTTCCTTGGATCGTGTTCCCACTTCCTAGGCCCATCACTCTCACCAAGAGGCTCAGAAGTTGTGATTGGCTAGATCTGTGTCACATGCCCACTCCTGTAGCCACAGAGACATGAGCTGTTATCAGAAGAAAAGGGGCAGAAACTCTTGCTGGGAAAACACGCCCCAAAAGCTGCCACTATCAACTGAAGCAGCAAACCCAGTTCTCCCTGACCATCCATTAGCATCCCACGAAAACACTGTAGTACAGTGTGAAGGAATACAGGAAGAGAAGGGCCCTGGTCCCTTCTGCAGGCCCCTAAAATCATAAGCCACATGGTCCCTGTCTCAATCCAGCATCCTCAACGGACTGTCCCTTCCATGAAAGGTAAACTAGAAAAACTCCACGAACACTGTGGAGAAGGAGCAAGGAAACCTGCCTTCTATGTAAGATTATGGATAGAAAAAAGAATTCTGGCAAGAAATCAAAACACCAAGCCTGTACCACATGCAAGAGGCCCAGTGTGGGGTACAAATATACACCACCCATCTGGTGCTGGAATCCCAAGTTGAAATTAATTAAAATTAATCCAAAACCAGTGAAGTCTCTGGGACCCCAGCAAAGCAAATGCAAAATTGCTCAGTAGAGTCCCTTCAGCTCTCATAATACACAGCCCACACATTAAAAACAACCCCCGTGAAGATGATCTCTCAATAAAAATTTTAAAACCAATGAAGAATTGAACCACCATGAGAGGAGTCAGTAGATGCAACAAAGAGGATGTCTGTCCTCCCATGAACCAGAACTAACAGACTATCTAAAGTATATTTAAAATGATTAAAGAGATATGAGAAGGCATAATACCCAAAATGAAATAGCAAGATGCTATGAAAAAAGAATAGGTAGATTAGCAAACAATTAGCCTTCTAAAAAAAATTATTGTCACTGAAGTGAAAACTCAGTGGGTTAAACACAGAGACATAGCTGAAGGGAGGATTCATATAACTGGAAGACAGAGCTGAGGAAATTACCCAGAATGCAGCACCAAGAGACAAAGAGATAGGAAATATGAAAAAGAAGTTATGAAACATGGAGGTTAGAATAATAAGGTCCAACTTACATTTAATAGACATTCCAAAAGGAGAGAGAACAGAGAATGACAGGTGAGGGTATCTGAAGAGATAATGTGTATTTTCCAGAATTGAAAGATATGAGCCCTCAGATTAAAGTGACTTAAACAAAATTTCTGTCATCCACTCACCAAATACTTCTTGAATGCCAGTCTCTGTGCTGGGGTTGGCAGATACAATGGTGAGGAGAACAGAATAGGAGAAGGGCTAAAAGCTATAGTTGTAAGCCAAGGACTGAAAGCCAGTGGGCCTACAGGGAGGTGGGAACAGTCACCAGGACCATATAAAATGCATGCCAGCTCCCCACACCACCTGATCTGTGACACTGAAGCAAGGCCTGGCAAGGGTTGGGATGGAACTGGGGCTGCAGATGCTCAGGGCTCTCCTCACCTCACCTCTCTCTCTCTCCTGTTTCCCCTCTCTGCCTCTGCTCTCCTACCTTGCTGCAGGCTCCCGAGCAGAAAAGAAAGCAGAGCCCCCACCTAGCAAGCCCACGGTAGCCAAGACGGGGCTGGCGCTCATCAAGGATTGCTGCGGGGCCACCCAGTGCAATATCATGTAGCCCCCACATGGGGTGCCCCCGGGGCCACGGGGAACCCCCTCCCACCCTCTTGTCTTCATAGCCCCCATTTCACCGGGGCCCAAGAGCTCTCCAAGGCGGAAGGGATTGAGGGCAAGCCCATGACTGCCACCAGGGGCCGTGGGTGCGGCGGGCGGGCCCGGCCGCCCTGTACAGAGTGTAGCAATAGGGAGTCCCTCACCGTCGCATGGCCCTCCCCAGAGCATGCCGAACCCAGGAGTCTGTCTCACTGTTTATCCAACCACCAGGAAAGGTCCTCCCTCGAAAAAGTATATCTCCACTTCTATCTAGCTGTATCTAACCCACCGTGGGAATGAACTGGGAGGGGGCATGATCCCCAGGTGTGTATAGTCGTGACTTTTCAACAGTCTAGCACCATGTTGGATACATCCCCCATCCACGCTCCTAGTTCTGCTGTCAGGCTGCCCCAAACGGCTCCACCCCCGATCTGTCCTCTCCCAGGGGCTGTGCCCTGGAGGGCTCCACACAGCCCATGTGTCTAGAGACACAGAGGGCCCATCTGTAAAGACTGAGCTTGTGTGTGGTGTTGTGGTCACGTCTCCCGCTTCCTCCCCTCCTGTGTCTGGGCACGGCTTGTATCAGGAGTGTGTCCGTTCGATCTTGGCTCTTCCTTCCCTTGCAACGTCTGTCCCAGGTGTATGGAGCAGAGTGGGGATGGGGCCCCGGCTGGAGCACACCTAGTACTTGGGAGAGGTAGCAGAGAGCTGGGAGCTCCAACACGAGGCAAGGGCAGATGAGAAGGGACCCAGAGCAGATGCTGACCCAGGCACTCTCCACCCACGGGGGCCACCGGATGGACGGAGTGCCAGCAGGACGCCACTCACCAGCCTAACACACAGACCTCCGCAAACAACAATGGCAGGCAGGAGAGGCGGCCTGACCCAACCGTGTCCCATCATTCGGTGGTGTATTTTAACCAGCCTAACAATTCCACCTGTGTAACTTGATGTACATTTGCTACAGCCAGCCCGGCACAGCCCATGTGACCTCTCTGTACGTGTGTGTGTCGTGACCGGCCTAAGTAGTTAGCATAACTCAAGATTTGCTGATGTGCAATCATCCATCAGAGAAAATAAAAATGGAAACCACGTACACAGCATTTTAAAAGTTTTTACTTTTTTCTTGACTATAGAAGTAACCCGTGTACATAGTTAATCATTTAAAAAGTACAGAAAGTATAAAGAAGTGTTTTTGTTTTTTTAACTCCCATCATTCCTCCAGCCACTCTGACATTTTGGCATATTTCCTCTCTGTCTTTTTGTATGATTTTTTTTTTCATGATTGGCATCCTATTGTACCATTCTATAACAGTTTTCTTTTTCCATTTATCATAGTATCACTATCACTCTGCCACATCATTAAAAGCTCTTTGTAAACATTAAACACTCTTCATTAATATTTACAATGGCTGCCTAGTAATCCATCTTGTGGATATACCGTAATTTATCTAACCAGTCCCTCAGTGTTGGACAATTAAGCTGTTTCTAGTTTTTCAGTATTATAAGTTGTCAGGATAAACATCTGGGGGGACAAAGCTTCATCTGAATTTCTGATTTTTCCTTAAGACAAACTCCTAGAGGTAAGGTTCTAATTTAAATGGGTCACATTTTAAAAAAATATTTGTAAATCAAAAGTTAACCTGAAGGTCTCTCTAGTCACAGCAGCTTTGGAGTTGACACAAAATACCTCTGAGTTTGATGGCCCCTCCTGGTGGGCAGTGCACCATCAGCCCCTCCCGCTCTGTCACTGATGTGCTTCTGCTTCAGTCCAAGCTTCGGCCCACACAACACTTCCTGCCATTAGGAAGCTGAAGAGGCTCCCTCAGGCCACTGCCAGGGCCACCATCTGGCCTCAGAGGGCACCGCCCTAGACCAAGCATGAAGCCAGGCTGCATGAGCTTCCTAGGGCTTCCATAACATATTCCCCCAACCAGCGTACTTTAAACAACAGAAATTGATCCTCTCACAGTTCTGGAGGCTAGAAATCAGTGTCCTCAGGGAAGTGTTCCCCCTGAAGGCTCTAGGGAAGAATGCTTCCTTGCCTCTTCCAGCTCCTGGCGGCCCCTGGCAATCTGTTATTGCACCAATCTCTACCTCCATCTTCACGTGGTCTCCTCTGTGTCTCTGGTCCTCTCTTTTTATAAGGACACCAGTCATTGGATTTAGGGCCCACCCTAAATCTGGGATGACAGATCTTGATTCTTACCATAACAACTTCTGCAAAGACCCTATTTGCAAATAAGGTCACATTCTGAGATGGCAAGTAGACATGAATTTGGGGGAAGGAGTGGTGCTGAAAACTCGGCCTCTAGGCACTGGCGCTGAATCAAATCTCGGAGAGAGAGTTTTAGGTAAAGTAGAAAAGAATAGCTTTATTGCTTTGCCAGGCAAAGGGGGATGCAGTGGGCTCCTGCCCTCAAAAACTGTGTCACAACCCAGGAGAATTTGGTAAGGAGTTTTATAGCAATGGTTTAGGGTAGGGTTGCTGATAAAATTAGGGTGTGTGCAGGGCCTGCACTCCTTTAATTTGGTCTCAGGTAATCTCTTGATGAGCTTCTCTGGTTCCTTTAATCTGGCCTCAGGTGGTCTTCTCTGGAATAAAGAATGACAACATCTTCCATTTATTGGGGGTTTTAGTTCTGTAAAGAGCTCAAAGATATTTTTATGTGTATCCCTTGAGGCAGAACCAGGACCCTTCCCCAAGGCTGCACTATTGTTTCTTCACTGCTCCTACCCTGTCTCTGCGTCCCCTCCCTTCCCTGATTAGCAACTGTTCAAATCTGCCCTTTGGAACTCAGGGAAGGTCATGGAGGCTGGGGTTTATTCCCTACAAACAAGAAACAGGAGACAGAAAGGCTTCCATGCCCAGGAGCCCCATGGGGTCCTGCTCGGTTTCAGGGTGACACTATTTAACCGGACTATGCAGATTCTTCCCACTCTTGCAATAAAAACTCAGGCTGCAAAGGGCCCGCCACACTCCCTTCCTGGTGGAAAACGTGTGTCTGGAAGGCCTGACCTCAGACCAATTAGACAGCAGTCACTCACTGCTCCAACAAGCTAAAAAAAATCAAAACCCTCATAAAAATCCTGCCTCTAGTACACCCACTGAGCTCTGGAGAACATCGTAACTTATGGTCCTACCATTCCTATTGATTTTTTTAAAGCCAATAAACCACCATTTATTGAGGTTTTCACAGAAGAGCAGAAGAAAGTAATTATTCAAGGTGCTCCCAGATCACCAGGGCTGCCTGCAAAGCTGGGAAACCTTGCAGGCCTCGGGGTCCCACACCCCCAGACTTACTCCTTTTGGAAGTTGGTTGGGAGGGGACATGATGATAACTGGAGAAACATTTATTGAAAGCCTATCGCTGTGCACTGAACATGTACACACATTTTCTTTTCTGTTCTTCACGTCAACCCCACAAGGCAGATCCTATTACTGATACCCGAAAACTGGGTTTGCCTCTTGGTGGGTGTTGAGCCAATAGACACAACCAAGCCAAAGGTCAGGAGAAGGAAGGATTTATTATTACTTGCAGCAAGTAAGGGGAATATCAGGGTTCTTTCCCAAAGCAGTGCCTCCCCAACAGCAAAATTGGGGAGGTTTTAAGCTAAAGGTACATGCATATTCATGAAGGGGCTTGAGCAGAGGAGAATTCAGCATAGAATTGAGCCCAAGGTCGACAGAGTCCAAGCCTTAGTTGACTGAAGTCAGGAGGGTCAACCTCATCATTCCATCCTCCACCTGGGTGGGGTCCTTAGTTCCTGCAGAACTCAAGCACTGTATCAGATCGTGATGTATAGCCCTTGAGGAGGCACTAGGACTCCGCTTTATCACTGCACTATTGTTTGACTGTCTTTTCTCTGTTCCTGTCTTCTTTTGTCCCCTTAAGATCATTGATGACTGGGACCTGTTCAAGGGCAAGAATCGTGGCCAGGCTTAGATCACCAAATGGCTTAGGCCAAAATGGGTTCTCTTATGTCAAGAAAGCCATGCCTGGTTCTCTTTCTCCGGGGACTCCCTAGCCCTATCTTCTTACTTTATTACTTCCACTCTGTAGATGAGGAAGTGGTCCAAGGTGCCATGGGCAGTTAGTGGTGGGATGGCCATTCATTCTCCCCCACCCCCAGCCCCCTCCTGTAGCCTCAACTGTCCTTCCCCTCCCCATCAGTGTTTAAGCAAATCCCTCCCACTAACAAACAACCCTCTATTCCTTCTTCCCTTGAGGCTCCTGAAACTACACACCTGGTCTCAGATTGGGACACAAACCCAGTCGCACCTTAGATGGGATTCGAATCCAGCCAAAACTCAGATTGGGACTTGAATCCATGGGCTGGGACTCAAACCTACTGTCTTTTAGTTAGAATCACTCACCTGGTGTCAGGACTTACTGAAGCTCAGGTTCTTTATGTCTCAGCACAGAAGGAATTCAGCAAGAGGCAAAGTGATAGGCAAGAAGTAGATTTATTCACGTAGGATGCCTGTGAGGCATACAAGCAGGTAGTTCTGCCCTGAGAACTAAGTGGGAAAGCTGGTTTATTTAGGGAGATACACACTCCATAGACAGAGTGTGGGCCACCTCAGAAGGCGACAGGCCCCAAAATATGGGGTGGTTAGTTTTTGTGGGCTGCGTAATTTCATAGGCTAATAAGTGAGAGGATTATTCCAATGATTTCGGGGGAAAGGGACAGGGTTTTCCAGGAATTGGGCCACCACCCACTTTTTGGCCTTTTATGGTTGGCCTTGGAACTGGCATGGTGCCTGTGGGTGTATCATTTATCATGCGCTAATGTAATGAGCATACAATGAGGCTCAAGGTCCACTGGAAGTCAAATCTTCTGCCATCGTGGGCCTAATTGGTTCTAACCAGTTTATGTTGTATTCTCAGTGGCCCTGTCATTCTTTTAAAAGTTGTGCCATGCCCCCTTCCCTCTGTCTCAGTCTCATCCCCCCTGCTTGCTTGGATCCCTCTTTGAACTGGGGCTGCAGAAAGCTTCTTTGGGTTTTTGGTTCTTCTGGCCATGCTCTCTGTTGGCACCTCTCCTGGACCTTCACACGTTATTCTCGTGCCAAGAACTTCTCAGATTCCCTGCCAGCCTTTCTCTGATCTACCTGTGCACCACTTTGAAGCCAAAATGGCCTCCTTAAAGTGCAAATCTATCCGGGTGTGTTGCTTCCCAGTTTAAAACTCTCCTGCACCTTCCCCTCCATCCTTGTAGTCTTGGGGCTTGGACCTGGTTTTCAAAGCCTTACTCAATCTAGCCCCTGCGTGTCTCTCCCACCTCCTTCCTCACTGCTCCTCCAGCTTCAGACCCTTGATCACACCAACGTTTAAGGGAACAGACTGAGTAGGAGCAGCTGGGAAGGAAGAAGGAACACCAGGTGATGTCAAGGAGGGTGTGTGCTGCAGCATCCAACTTGACCCAGAGGTCATGCACCCATAAGAATTTTATGAAAAGGGCCTACAGGACTTTGCAACAGGATTGGCTTGCTGCGAGAATTTTAGCAAGGCGCTGGTGTGGGAGCCAGATGCATCTGGCAGGGAGTGATCCCTTACACTCTGTCCCACTGGAGGGAGGGCTCATCACTCCTATGTGGCAGATGGGGAACTGAGGCTCAGAGAGGGGAAGTGACTAGCCCAAGGTCACACAGCATGTAAGTGGTAGAGCACCAGGACTCGAGTCTGAGAGCTGGGGTGAGAGCCAGGGCCAGGTGTTTATTTCGCATTTCTAATCCCAGCAGCATCACCACCCCACTCCCTGTTGAGCTGTGCTCAATTAGAGGTGACTCGTGGCCATGCCAGCAGCCACAGAGGCTCTTAATGAACCTTTCCATTCCGTGCTGGCTGGACAGCCCTGGGCTGCAGGGGCTCAACAACTCAGCTCATCTGCAGCTTGAGAAGAAGCAGTTACAACGTGCCCAAGGCCACCAGCCAAGACTCAGGACAGCTGGGAGGCCATCAGGGGCTGGGGCGAGACTCTCAGGAAAGCTGGTTTGAGGAGCACATGTCCAGTCACTTTTCCCTTCATGTGTCTCAAGAATGCCTCCCTTGGCAGGCACCAGGGAACACAGCGATGAACCAGAGTGGGACAGTCCTGCCTTCGGGTACCTTACATTCTAGGGAGGGAGACCAGCATCAACTGCCCAGCGGGATTAGCCGCAGGGCAGGGAAGCTAGAAAGTGAGGAAGGGCTCCGGCTTGGTGTCAGCCTGCCGGGATTAAGATCGACCACTCCCTGTGTAAGCCTGGGGGGGTTCCTTCACCTCTCTGGGCCTAGGTGTCCAGATCTGTGAAATGGAGAGAACCACGGGGGTGGGTGGGGGTAAATGAGACAGTGCATGGGAGGGGTTAGAGCAAGGCACAGGGTGAAGTGGATTATTATGGCCTACATCTGCATGTAGG